AACTTCAAAGAAGTTCCCTTCTCTAATAGATGTACAGTGTACATAGGGAAAACCGGAGGGGCTGATAAACTTTACGAATTTGAAACTTTATAATCCGGAACAGTCTACTTGAACCTGCCCCCTCACCGTACGATTACTTCCTATTTTCGCGAAAGCTGCTGCGAGATCGTTAATGCCCGGAATTCTTGGTACCTAGCGGCTGCACATTCTCCAGATACTTCTCTATTCAAAGTTGAATAACACTCGAACGCAACTATGACCTCGACTACTTATTATTTCAATAACATGCAGTTTATAACGCGCGGTATTTTCGATAATTTGCAATGTTTGATACTTATGAAGATACGCGATACCGGAGACATATTCCCTTCCTTAACACATTAAGGGCGGGAGTCGTAGTACTACGATTTAGCTCGACTGCGGCTTAAAGGCGGGAATCGTAGTAATACAATTTAGCTCGACTGTACCTTAAAGTTTTTATGATCACACAAAATATCGCCCGTCGTTAATGTGTTAACATCAATTTTATTCGTACAGCAGAGACGCGAAATAAGAATAACTTTTAATATCATAGATTTTAAGAAATGAAGATTTGATGAAGTCTTCCCTCTCTTTCTCCCTTCTCATCTCTCAACATTTTCAACCCTTTCTTCACCAATCACCCGTTTCATTATCCGCTCTCTAAAGAGTTATCGTTCGTCTTCTCTTTGCGCTTCTCTTTCTCCTTTAACAAGTTGACACTCTCTGCTGTCGTCGGCGCGACGTTCGTTCTCCGTGCATCGACATCGTTACTTAGCTTCGCGTTCGATCGTATCAGATTTTAATTGCGGACGTAAGGTAGACCGAAACAATAGCATCTCGCTGTGAGGACCGCCGACATTAACCCGGCACTTTTCGAGATAATTATACGAAACAATGAAGGCGTCGGTTTCGCATATTACGCGTCAATCTCCCTTCTTCGCGCGTTTTCTCGATCGATAACGCGATACAACTTAAAAACATCATTTTCGAGAGCCGAATGAAATATATAATGAGCGAAGTCATTACCGTTACAATGGAAAAATAATTGAAAGGAATCAGTCTGAGAGCTGACCCTCTTAATTTCTCGAACAAAAGGATACCTCCTCTATTTCCTTCTTCTTACATCGTCTGTAACAGCGTTCTCATTAAGGGTAAAAAGGAATAATTCCGATAGTGCCGTGAGAAAGAGAGGGAGGCAGTGCACTAACGTTCTATCACATCGTCCTAATTCCTCGATGAATGCTCGGCGACTTCAGTAATGTACCGTGCCTCCGAGGAACAAAGATACCCGGCTATCATACACCCACCTAATCCAGGTTACTCTCTTCCGTGACCCGTCGGTAGGTAGCTCAGAGCTCGCATTGTCTACCCTAGAAGCACGGCGCAATCGATAAATCCCTACCAACGACGCCGGGCTATAGACATTCCGCTGAATTCAGCGCTGTCCCATTTGCCCAGTCGCCCCCGCGACGAAGAAGAAGAAGACTTTCACAGTGACGTGGTGCGGACCCTTTCAGAATCGGATGGGTGAGCAGGCAGGTTCGTTTGAAGTCCGCCAGGAGAAAAAAAAAATCCGAGATCTCACGTCGAGCTGTTCAACCCCGTCCACCCTCTCACGGCTGTCATACGGTTTCGCGTCGTGCGGAGACTGTCCGTCGAGATAGACCCTCGGCGATGGCACCCTTGCCCTTGACTGCAGGGCGCGAGAACGCTTGTCTGAGGGGGTTGTCGGCTTTCTCTCTAACCGGCAGACGGGTCGGATAGGCGCAAAAAAGAAAATGAGGAACGAAAGGGGTAGAGGAGGCACGGCACAGACGAGACGCATGCCGTCCTGCCTCCGCAGCCTTCGCCGTCTTCCTCTCCTCAACTACGCTTTGCGTTCATCCGTCCGTCCGTACTTACGTACGTACGTACGTCGTAGGCACCGTATAGTTGCATGGCGTCTCTCTACGTGCCGACGTAAAGTGAGTAGAGTCGCGTCGAGTGGAGGGTGCAGAGTGCTCCGACGGTGCGTTGAGTGGCCGTTCCTCGCGGGGCTGCTTCGTTCGGTTGGCCTTCCCCTCCGTTATTTGGCTAGAGGCCCCATTCATGTAAGAATCGACGCGGTCGTATCGTCGCGTCGTAGTATTTTACAAACAATGGTCGTGCGAGGAATCAATGTCGTAATAGCTCGAAAGCTATCACCTCTGATCGTTGAATGTGGTTTATCATACCCGACACACACAGTCCAACCGGCTGTCGGTTTTACTATTCATTCCGACGACTTTCGCAATAAGAGAGCAGAAGGTTGAATAAACTTTCCCGCGTATCAAGAATGAATTACTTTATATGATGACGTGTTCCAATCAAACGCGCGATATTGCGGTCGCCCGAGTTCCAACATCGCAAGTTACCACGTGGCTAGTAACGCGCGCGCGTTAATTTTATAGGGCCATTCGCGTGGCTTTACAGTAAGATCCGAATTTCGAGAGAGAGAGAGAGAGAGAGAGAGGGAGAGAGGGAGGGGGAGGGGGAGAGAGAGAGAGAGAGAGAGAGAGAGCACCACGACGAATAGTGGCTAATGGATACTTTCGTGGATCTCCGCGCTCGTATCGCGGGCTAATTTCCCTCTCAATTTTGTGACGTCGTGTTGCACGACTACGAGAGAGAAAGAGAGAGAAAGAGAGTTCATATCGAGGCGATCGACCCCGAGTGCACTCTCCGTGTAATAGATGTAGACTCGAGGCAACGTAATCAAACGGCGCATTAAATGCAACGTTATGACCAAAGATCGATGTGCGAAGCGTATATATAGAGAGAGCGAGTCACGATCACAAACGTAGCGCTACGTCAATGTACCAGGTGTAGAAGTATGAAACCGGAATTTTTTTGTAAAAATTACACGTCTGTTGTTTGAAAATGATAAAAAATATTTTATTTAAAATAATGTCCATTGCTATTTATACATTTTTCCCACTTCTCCGGCAGTTTATGAATGCCACGCCAAAAAAACATTTCTTTCTTTGAAGCGAACCAGCTATCGAGCCATTTTCGTACATTTTCATACGAATTGAAGCGTTGTTCAGCGAGAGCATGTCCCATTGATGCGAATAGATGATAATCGGACGGAGCCAAGTCTAAAGAATAAGCCGCATGCGTTAGTATTTCCCAACTGAACGCCTCGATCGTTTCCCTGACCCGTTTTGCTGTGTGTGATGGGGCATTATCATGGAGCAAAATGACTTTGTGTTGCCTTTTTCCATATTCCGGTCGTTTTTCACGCAATGCTCGTTTTAAATCGATCATTTGCTGTTGGTAGCGATCAGTATTAACGGTTTCACCAGGTTTTAGCAGCTCATAATAGATTACACCCTTCTGATCCCACCAAACACAGAGCATTGTCTTCTTTTCAAAGCGATTTGGTCTTGCAGTGGATGTTGATGGTTCGCCTGGATTCACCAATGATTTCTGACGCTTAGGATTCTCAAAATATACCCATTTTTCATCACCTGTCATGATACGATGGAGAAATGACTTTCTTTTGTATCTGTCGAGCAGCATTTCACAAGTGGTTTTTCGATTTTCTTGCTGTCTTTCATTCAGTTCATGCGGAACCCATTTTCCCACTTTCTGAATCTTTCCCATGGCTTTCAAACGAATTGAGACAGCTTTCTGCGTCACATTCAATTCATCCGCGAGTTCTTGTTGAGTTTGAGTATCATCTTCATCCAATAAGGCTTGCAATTCGTTGTCTGCGAACTTTTTCGGTGGTTTCCCACGCTCTTCGTTTCTCACGTCAAAATCACCACTTTTGAATTTTTTGAACCACTCGAAACACTGTGTTTTACCAAGAGCATGTTCACCGTAAGCTTCGACAAGCATTCGATGCGATTCTGCAGCAGTTTTCTCCAAGTGATAACAAAAAACCAATGCTGTCCGCAAATCGTAGTTCGTAGGCACAAAACTCGACATGTTTAAGGTTATAGAAAAATATACCGGTGTATGGAACTTGGGTTGTTGTGTGTTGAAAATCTTCGTTCGTCAGCTGTTAGAGGGAGATGATGGCGCTGCAGAAGCGGTCTTACGTTCCCTAAACTGATGGCTAGCACAATCTATAGGGAAATTCCGGTTTCATACTTCTACACCTGGTAAATAAGTAATTAACGCAAAAAACGCCAAGTTTCGCCGTTACATGACACATGTAATCGGGATCTACAGGTCTATAGCGGGAAACAGATTGAAATGACAGTTGAACGAGTTAGTCGATGAAACTGCAGATGTTTAATGCCGCCGATGCGAACAAACCTCCGCGACTTGTTCCCGCGAAAACCTGTCACGCGATACAAAATATATCGTGGAGAGCCAACAGATTTACAGCTCATACAGGATAATTAAGAGTGTCTTACCGTGATACGAAAAGCAACGACTTTGCAAAAGTCGTATTGCTTTCCTCACGGTTACTCGTACCTGTCGTACCGGATGAAATAAGCTCGCTTCGCAAACTAATGCTGCCGCAAAACTAGAATAATTCCATGTTTACGTGCCCTTTCAAACTACTGCGTAAGCATTTTTCGTTTCTCGACGAGAATATTCCGTAGTAACGCGCAGTAGTTTCCGCGGAAATTCGTTCAGTCGATCCCGAGAGCAGCGAGCAACATCAAAAAGTCTGACGCGTCGAAGATCGCGCTGAAGTTGTTTGCTCTCGGGGATAAAATTAATCGACGGTGGGAGGGGGGAGGGGGTGTAACAGCTCTCGATTTCTCTCGAAACAATCCGTCGAATTCTTAGGGCATTCCCAGCCGTTGTAAACGCGAAAGGGAGAGGTCAGAGATGTACAGACGCGACGTGAGAGTCTTCGAGGGATTCTCCGCATTTCCGGTTCAACCGGCTGGTGACGGGCGGCATCCCCGAGCTGTTATTTCGCGTGCGGTCGCGGATATTGCACGCTCGCGTTGTACATCGCGTCAATTGCATGCGGCTTACAGCGATATGAGACATACCTTTCAGATGTTCCTGGGTGTCCGCCGCGCCAGCTCGCATAATGTCGCTCAAATAGTGTTCCAAGGTCCTCATGTTGTCCAATGGTGAGTTTCCATTAGCCGTCATACGATCCTAGAAGATATCAACGAGAGGCGTTTGTTATTTTCGTATAATGGCTACTTGCACTTTGATCGTTTCATCGTGCTCGCGAGAAAGCTATCTCCGAGTTTTAAATGTCGATATCCGGCACACGTCTGGGTGGGATAATTTGATTTTTAATTTATATCCTTATTTTCCCAAGCAGATGCGAACAAGATATGTAGATAAGTTAATACGCAACTTAAGATAATGAACCGAAATTGTAATGCGGAAAAAGGAATTAGCTGTCTATATAATACAACTGAAATTTAATTACCAGACCCAGTTTTTAGCTGTGGGGGCTGAAAACAGGGACAGAATGAATTAGCTAAATTAACTAAATATCAATTGTATCATAGAAACAGCTAATTTTCATCCGTGTGAATTAATTTTTAGCTGTGAGAGGTACCTCTTTTTCTGTATAACTCGTATGTATAATATAATGGATCCGAGTTTTAAAGTATATTAGTGAGCGCATACAGAGGTGATCGAGCTTTTGTCTCCCATTATCTGATTCGCAATTTCGCATAGATGACAACTCACGGCTTCTGTCGCAACGATTGTCCCGACACGCGCGACGCAAAACGCGATTGTATTCGCGCCGCATAATACACGGCCGCGCAGTAATGTGCAAAATATTCGCGCGTAAAACACCATGAATTTTGGATCTTTCAATTTCCGCCGTGCACACTCCGCGAGGTAAGATATTTATTTCTGGTTAGGAAAAAACCTTTCTCTCTCTAACGGCGCGAACGAGCGAGCGTTCTGGGGGAAGGAGGACAAGTGAAGCGGAGAAGTTGAAAAACGATAAAGGAAGAAACGTTCCCGACGCGGCAGAAAGGAGGAGAATCTACCAGAAAGAAGCATGCCACTACAGAGAGGAACGACGGGAAAGAAGTATAGGGAAGAGGGTGAAAGACGCGAGAGAGAAAGGCTTGCAATAGACCACTTGTAACGAATCGGAGCGCAGTTAAAGCGCGGATGTATTCAAAAGTCCATCCCCCGACGCCGCCACACCCTTAATGCACATCCGCTTCCCTTCCTTTATTTCGGCTATCGCGCTCGTCCGAAATGCTGTGCTCCCGACGAAAGTTTGATAAAGCTCGACCGCCCTCTTTTATTTCGGGCGTCACGCCACGGAATTGCCGACTTCTTCGCGCGGAAGGTTCGATAAAAACAGTCGGTCCTCGAAGATTAATAATCTCAGCGCGATCAGATTGGAGCGACATCCGCGTCATTCGAAGGTCTTGATCGATATACGCGTTGTTACACCGGAGAGATTTATTGAGCCGCTCGCATTTCGATCACTCGAAATAACGCACGATTGTGACTCTGATAAATTATATTCCCCGAGTGTCTATAGACTCGGGATAACCGAAAATAACGCTTGTTCGGCGAAATCCCGGGTCGAAATTTTAGTTTAACTTTAAGTCTAATTTAGTTCTGTATTAAGTTCTTTTATTGTGTTTCTTTGGTACTACAAATGGGAAAGTTATTTGGCGTTTTCTCTACTCGAAGACTCGATATAGAATTTGAAATTTCGATTCGGGATTGCCCCAGATCGTTTTACATGACGTAACAATCGAATCGAATCGTATAGTCACACCGCTCGTCGAAGCGCGGACGAGGAGTAACTTTTCCACGTTTTTTGACAAGTGTTTATTGAGAGTCATCCGCGTCTTCCTTTTGCGACCATTCATTCGCATTGCCTTCTGCCCGCGCCTCCAACGCAGACGCGAAAGAAGCAGACAAGGAATTATGGGGCGAAGAAATAAGTGCGATAACGGAGGAGGTCCGGGAATTTTTGAAGGTGACCAATTGAGAAGAACGGTCGATGTAACGAAAAATAACGGGCGACGGCACGAAGAATGCCCGTCCGCGTGAAAGAACGCTTACCCTCGTGGTACATCTCCGATCGGACAATGTTCCACAGCGCCTGACACGTTCTCTGTTTCTACCTGTCTGTCCTTAAAAAAAAAGCGTTACACTTCGTAACAATCGTTAATCCGACCGATACGATGGTTCGCATCGCACCGCAACATTCAATGGATCCTATAAGTCTCGTAAAACAGTGACGACAGACAATTTATAATAATTATAATCTTGCGTAACACGTGATAATCCTTGCGCATCCTGCGCGTGCAGGACCAATATTGAAATTTATGCCAACGCGTCGTCGCGTCCTCTTGGAAGGAAACGGCCGTGACACTTATTTGGTCAACGAGGTACGTAAAGGAGGGAGACGGATACCCGGGTCTATCGTACGAATGGAGCAGAAAGGAAAAGAAAAAGAGGGAGGGAGGGAGAGAGAAGCGAAAGGGGTGGGCCCCTGATGTCGAATAATCGTGCCCATCTTTCCACGCTGGCACAACCGGTGGAGGTGCAAAAGGTGGCCCCACCTTCTCCGCGAACGTGTCCCCTTCGCACCGCCCGCAACCCCCTCGGTCGCATATTTCTTCGTTCCTCGTATACGACCGCGCGGGCCCTGGTCTCCCACTCGGGTTCCAACCCACTTCCCTCTCCCGGGTCGCACGCACACGGGCGCACGCGCCGCCGACTCACGTACACGTGCAATACACCCACGAGTGCACGCACACACACATACAATAGTGCGGGGGCGCGTACACACAGAGGGAGAAACGGAGAGGGGGGACGTTTCTCGGTTGCGTTCCGTCTCTGTCTAGCTCGCGGCGTGACGGTGGAAAATCAATATAGGGAAACCAGGAAGCAGCGCGGCAGGGCGTCGACAGCAACCTCTCCGTGCAGGCTCCGTCCCGGTACCACCCCTACCCACCGCCGTCTCGTTCTCTCGTTGTGTACCCTGCTCCCCTCTCCACGCTACCCCGTTTTAACCCTCTCTCGCCAATTCCGTTCGCTGTGCCCTATTCGTTTTTATTCGGTGCTGTAGTGGCACCGTTCTCGGCCGCGCCACCATCGGTAATTCTCGCTCGCGCCGATCATTAGGGGTTTCTTGCGAAGTCGCACGACTTTCCATTGGTCGTCGCCGATGGCGGGTTTTGCATTGCCGGATTGGCGGTGTCTTGACCGTGACTACTACTACCACTACTATCGCGGCAGCCACCCCTCCGGTAGGAGGCCGCTGCGCAAATTTTCCCCCTACCGTCGGGGAGTAGGTATGCGGGTCGGAACCGAGAGAGAGAGAGAGAGAGAGAGCTTCGAAGATCGTCGGGAAATTGGGTGATCCGGAAGAAAACACCGCAGTGTACGTCGTGTAACGTACACCCTTTCCCCTTCCCTAGACACACACACATCTGGGAACGCGGAATTCCGTAACGTTACTAGAGAGCGATACATCACAGAGATGTATCTTCGAACGTAACGTCGGCGATTCGTTATCTGCCATTCGAGGCGGTACACCCTCCCGGTTCTCCGGCAAAAGCTCGAGGCATATTCAGTCGAGCATCGGGACACGAGAACCGACGGAATCCATAACAATACCCCGGCGATCGAAGACGCAGAGCAGTGGTACGCACACGCCGCCGCGACTCACCCCCTGTATCAGTTACGAGGATTCCATTCGACCCACCGACCCCACACGCTTCCACGGTTGCGAGGCGCGCGGTCGCGGCTCTGCGAGATTGACCCAGTTCCGAAGTTCGCGGCTCGTAAAAAGCAACGGTCCTCCCTCCCCCGCACGCGCTAACGCTATCGGTCCTCTCTCTGCTGACCCCGCGCGTTTGCGAATAACCCGTGGCCTGTCAGGGGCATCCTGGCCTGGTCGGGGATTGAATTATGGCGGTCGGAGCAGAGCTGCTGAATGTAATCCAGGAGTGCTCCGGCGAACACGGGTGTAAACGCGTAAATTTTCCAGGGGACTTGACATCGCATGTCCATCCGTTTCGCGCAGTCTCTCGGCGAGTGAGGCGCGTGACGTAACGAGTTCGCGGTATTGTGCGCGCGACGGAGAGATGCCGAAGAATGGGAAAAATTTCGTCTCGCCCTTCTCGACACGGCGGCAATTCGCGAATACGTCGTCGTCGCGACGAATTACCCCGAGAACGGCAGATGACGAAGAGGCATCTCGTCCCATTGAAATTTCACGTGTCTCCGAATCGCGAGTCGACGATGACGACGATTAATTTCACGGCGGCGACAAATGGGGATCGCGGGAGGGCCCCGGTAGAACTCGCAGAGGGAGAAACGCAAAAAGGGTTGTTAGCGGGGACGAGACTTTGGCGCGTATTCAGGTGTGCCTTACCTCCCGCCGCATTTTCGTCGCGCACCCACCTAGTCTAGACGCGAATGTTCTCTCACTACCCCTGCCAGTCAACCCCCGTTGCAGCAACTGTGTTGCTGCAGCCTCTCTCTCTCTTTTTATTCGTTCTTTCTTTCTTTCGGCTCGACGACACGAACGACAGAGACGACGTGTTTATGTTCCGCTTCGCGACGCTGTTTTACGTGCGTTTATTCTCGCGCCCGTCCGCGTTCTGCGCTTGGACCGCGAAGGGGTCTTCATTGTGATCGTCGGAATATCCATTAGAGCGGCCGAACGGGACGAGTAATTATTATGTCGGATGCGACGTCGTCGTCGCGTCGCAACGGTGAGAGCGCGGGAAAGAAAGGAGGGAAATAATAACGCGCGAGAATGTATCGCACCGCGGGGGATGAAAGACGAAGAAGAAATTTCCAGACGATATCCCGCGTCTCTTGCGGCGCATTACCAGACTGCACTTCACATCTCGAGCGTTTACTCGCAACCGATACCCGAAATACCCGGTTACGTCGTTACGTCACGCCCCGCACGTTACGCTTAGCATAGGGTTAATTAATTTAGCCGATCCCACGCTGCAATTTCAAAGGGCTCGTATCGTGCACAAAGGAGAAACTGATCGTGCCACTATCGCTATTAATCATGCCAGTACCATTACTCATCCGCGCGCGAGAGAGGGAGAATCTTCTTATACTCACATTCAACGATAATCGCGTAATCTACTTAAATACCGAGAATAATGAAGTTCTCGTAAATAGGTCGC